CACCTCCCCTAGTAGGCTCAGGTTGGTAATTCAGAAAAAAAAAGAACAAGCACAACCCGCTTTCCAGCAGCAGGTTTTAGCCATCCTTTTCTGATGAACAAGAGTCTAGGAAGGAGGAAAGGGGGAACGGCAGAAAGAATAACACTTGTTGGAATTTTGCTTGGGTCTAAAACGGTGAAGAGGTGCAGAGGTATTCTTAGGCATTAAACCGCCAGTACCTTTCAGGTTGCCTTTCCAAATCGGTCCGCGGCCAGTTTCCGAAGCTGCCCGAAAAAGTGAAGGCTCTGCAAATTATGCCACTGGCGGAGGGTATATATTTTGGAGTCTCCAACTGTCTCAGCCTCTTTTAATTTCCAAAGAAGAATTTTGGTGTTGAGGGGCTCCACGATTTGACGGTAAGTATCGAGCGCAGCCCTCTTATTATGCTGTCGGCAATTCTTCCTTTCATTTTCTTGCGTTCTTTGTTCCTTCCCCCCCCCCTCCTCTTTAGTCGCCCATCCGTTGTCCCATAAAACACATGAGACTTTCTCTCGAGGATGCCCAGCCTCGCCGCGACCAGTAGCTAGGCAGGCGACCACCTCAGGATTTGCAAGGAGCTTTGTCACATGTGAACTGTGTGTGTGTGTGTGTGTGTATGGAGGATGGCGGCACGCAAACGACATTGCCATGGATAAGGCCATAGCAAACTTCTGAAGTCCCGCCTTAGCAAACTTCGTCGCGGCGGGAGTTACGATGTTCGCTATGTCGTTAGCCAAGAGAGAGAGAGAGAGAGAGAGAGAGAGAGAGAGAGAGAGAGAGAGAGAGAGAGAGAGAGCAATGCAGATCTCAGTTTTTCTCAGTCCAATAATCCTCATGTATTTCTCTCTACTCCAATATATACAAGGGACACTGGACCCTGTTTCCAACAGGTGATGTTCCCCACCAATAGATGGAGTGGTCAGTAATCGGCTTACTAGGGATGGCTTCTCGTATTACCCCCCCTAGTAGGTCCGCTTTGGCCTTGTTTAAAAGAAAGAAAAAAAAAAGAAAAAAAAAGAAAAAAATGAATCAAAATGATTTATTTTTACCATTTTCAATTCTGTTCCTTCAAACTCAATCTCAATTTGGAATCCTGGAAACTGAGATTTTTTTTCTAAATTTTGAGCATACGAAAAGAAGTTAAAAAACAACATTTTTTTGTCGTTTTTTTGTCCCCATAACGTCGGATGATCAGATCATCGGATGTCGTGGCGACGCCCGATGATCTGATCATCGGATGTATGTTGATGGTACTTTACGTTGAGATAGTACATCACATGGACAAAGTGAGATAACCACTTTCTCACCCAACGAACAATGAAATTTTGACAAAGTCCACTTTCGTGAATTAAAAAAAAAATATTAGTTTTAATGAAATGTCAATTTGGACTCTGGAGAGGTTTGCAGAACAGCGGTCTGTATGTGGCCATCCTGTGGCCATCCTGTTCCTGACGGATGCCTGCATCTAAACTGGGTAATGTTCCCAGTAATTTTTCTTCCGGGTGGAACATTCAAGATAACATCCTGCTAATCAATGAGTTAATTAAGCTATCAAGACAATCTAAACATAATGTTGCGTTTATTTTTATAGATTTCAAAAAAGCTTATGATCATGTGGACTGAATTTTTTTGGATAAATGTTTGGATAAATTTAATTTTGGACCTAATTTTAGGAGATGGATTAAGATCCCCCATGAGAATGCTACGACAAAGGTGATGTTGAATGGTAATGTTGCCCCTCCCATATCCTTACAACGATCGGTTAGGCAAGGAGACCCCATCGCCCCATTACGATTTGTAATCATTATGGCCGCTCTCGCAGCCAACATCCGTCAACATAAGGATATCAAGAGAATCCGTGTCACCTCTATCCCTGAGGATGCCATACCAGTTTGCTCTTTGTTTGCAGATGACCTATCCTTAATGGTTGATGCATCAAAAGAAAACCTAAAAACCATTCAAAGGGTGATGGATGAATTTTGTAAGTTTTCTGACATGAGAGTTAACTGGGAAAACAAAACGTTGGGATGGTGGCTCCACTATCAAGGAGGTAGACCACCGGATAGACCCAGGATAAAATGAATTTCCCCGAAAACCCCAATAAGGGTCTTGGGGATTTCCTTTTCTGCTCAAGGCAAACCAACCACCAAGAATGTGGTGATCATGGAGCAATCGTTTTATAAATTGGAATTGTGGAAGGATAAACATACTTCTATATTTAGGAGACTCTTGATATCAACAATGTGGTGATAGCCTTTATTTGGTATAAATCAGCAGTATGGGCCTTGGACAAACCTGCCATAAAGACAATCCAACGACAGCTTGTTGCTTTTCTCTGGCGTCGTAACCATAAATGTGTTAATGTGATCAGTAGAGTGACATTGTTATCTATAATCCAACCTAAAGGTAAAGGTGGGCTTGGGATCATTGATCCCACCACCCAAGCCATGACTCTGTCATTCCAGTGGATTAAGCGTCTTCTCTTCAACCCTCAGACCCCCTGGAGTAAGTTAGCTAGTGAACAAATCAGGAGACTAGCCCCACCCACTTCAGAAGAAGTGGATCCTCTCATGTGGTTGGAGAATAGATCGTGGTCACTCCCAAAAAAATCCTCATCAGCGGTTGGTATTCCTGATCCCTCAGGTCGCCAAGCGGCTAGGGCGGATTTAGTAAAGGATCCCTTCTGGATTGACCTATTAAAAATATGGAGAAAACTTCCTCTTCCAGATAAAGTGTTACCAGAAAGATGGGAAGAGGAATGTCAACAATCATTATTTAACAACACTTTGATCAGGGATTCTCAAGGCTGCACCCTCGATTGCGCAGTATCATCTTGAAAAGGGTGGATAAAAAAAAGAATTACTCGTATAAAGGACATATGGAGCACTGCTGACAAAGACTGGATTAGCCCACAGACTCTCCGCGATAAAATAAGATATTGTCATATTCCGGTAGAAGCCCTAGAAAAAATAATTGATATAATACCCCTGGACTGGATCAGAATACTTAAGAAAGGGTCTTCCCTTTCCCCAAATGACAGGGTGTCCATTTCGTTTCACCCAGGAATAGTTGGGAACATATTGGAAGTCCGTACTTCAAGGGATATTCTGGTGACGTTATTTGTGATGGGAGAGGATGGGTTTCTCACACCAATATCTCATCAGCAGACAGGGTGGTTCAAGAATGATACTCTCTTTTGAATCAGGGTGCTTTTAGTTGAAGGAAAATTGTTGGCCTATAAGCAAGACACCCCCATCTCCCATCTTCCCCTTGATCCAATCTGCTGGTCTTGGTCTTCACACAACCCATCAGGATCAGCCCATATCAGGACGCTTCATACTCTATCGATTAAATTTGTATACAGGATGCTTAGGCCTAAGGTGTGCCTTAAGGATAGAGTTCGGAACCGGTGGATGAGTCATCTAAGGGTCGGAATGGAAGAACTACGCTCAGTCAAGTGGTTTCAGCTTTCCAAAACAAAGCCTGCCAAAATTGCTTCTCTTCAACGGCAAATAACACATCGTTGTCTACAGACTAACGACTGGCTTATTGATAGAACTTCACTAGAACAGAAAGGAAAAACTTCCCCCTGATGCAAGTTTTGTAAATCTGCCTTTCCTTCCAAACTTATTCCAGAAACCTTAGAACACATATTCTTGCAATGCCCAGGATCGATGTGGTTATGACGTTGGTGGGATAGAATTTGGAATCTGATCGCAACATCCCTCCCTTGGTCATGGAACTGGAGAGCCCTATTACTTGAAACTTGGAATCCGTCACAAGTGGATGCCTTCACACTTAATTTATTTAAGATTGCTAGGAGAGCGGTTATGTGGGCACTGTGGGTTCGTAGGTGCACCCATGAGATGGAAGACGCTCGGCTTGATGGCCCGGAATTTACTGACACCATCAAATAGCAAATCCAGGTTGAAATCACAGCCAGGTGGGAAACTTTGAAGGAAAAGCTTAAATTTTTCTCCTTAGAAAGAGACATCAAACAACACATCCAAACATTCAATCAAGACTGGCTTGGCGGGGAACAAGGAGGAAGGGTGGGACGGGTGGAATGGGAGAAAAGGCAGGAAAATGGTTCAGAAAAAGATTCATGGAATTATCGACTTATCTTTAATGACTGGTGTAATATTGATCCCAGCATTCCAATGAGTCCACCTTCAGATTTTCCAGATCCCTTTTTCCCGTTAGGTATGCCGTTGGTTCCAATTTCATGGTATGCGCAAGATGTTGTTTGAAATCATGAACTGTTCCTTTATCCTCTTTGACTATGATCTGTATCAGATTCTGGAGATAATACGATGGAATGTTAGACCTACTTATTTTCGTGTCAGATCAAGACAGCGAGACACAATGATTCAGTTCAGAAAGGGAGCTGGGCCTGGTTCCCGGCGGTGAAAGTCTCTGGAGGTTGGAAGGGCTAGGTGGACACGTATATCTGGCGGCCGTTTAGGGTGAAGAGGCACAAAAGCCAAATCCTCTTATTTTCTCCATTTCTGGGTTCACAACTGTTCAGAAGGGACGTTGGGCCCGGTTCCCAGCATGAGCTGTTCCTTGTCGTTCCAAATGATTATGATGTAAAGGGACGCTGGACTCGTTTTCCAGCAGGTGCAGCTCCCCACCAATGGAACGGAGCCATCTTTCAAAAAAAAAAAAAAAAAAAAAAAAAAAAAATCTTCCGGGTTGTTTGGGGAGGATTCCCGGCATGAAGCCTCCACCTTTTTTTCTGTTAATAAAAGTGTTTGTTGTGTGAAACAAACCAGACAACAAAAAAAAATTGGACTCCTGTTATTCAATTTGAGTTCTGATTTGAATTGATTTCTCCTACTGTACTTCAATTTGATTTCTGATTTGTTGTGCTGTTTCAGCTCGAAGGCCATTAGGGAGCGAGAGGAAGTATCACGCGCACCTGGCGTAGGTCTATCATCACTCATCATCCGGTCTCTATGATCACTGTTGGTCAGCAGCAGGAAACGACACGTGGCTAGTATCATCAGCATCAGCATTGGCATCAGCATCGGCATCAGCAGCAGCATCAGCATCAGCATCAGCATCAGCAGCAGCAGCAGCAGCAGCAGGAGGAGCAGGAGGAGCAGGAGGAGCAGGAGGAGGAGGAGGAGGAGGAGGTGGAAGAGGAGCTCAGTAGTTAACAGCTGACTGCATTGTTTCCGGGATGTCACCTAGAGTCTGTAGCTGATCTCTGGGTAATTTGGACATAGCTGATTAGGTTAATATAGACATGATAGCTGATTAGACCAATATAGACATAGGTGATTAGGGTTATATAGACATACTAGGGAATACCAGGCAGGTGGAAAGAAGTAAGGATCATGAGATGTGGATGATGATCACAATCGTCCTAAGGCTCCTCCTAAGCCCTCTTCTTTTGTCTTCCAGCATGTCAAGCTGACGTATCTCCGGCTGCTCCTCCTCCTCCTCCTCCTCCTCCTCCCAACAGTCTCGCCCTCACCACTCTCCGTGGTGGGTCAGCTTCCATCCAATGGTCGCCAACCCATTCTTCTCGAAGCTCCTGCAGTCGAGTAAAAGAAGGTGAAACACCTCTAGACATACTTCTAGACTTCTAGTAGAGACTTTTAGATGCTACTAGTGTTTACAACAAGAAGAAGCATCTAAAAGTCTCTCTAGAAGTTTAGAAGAAACAAGAAGCCGAAGCCATCCTTTAAGGAAATTAGTATAGAGACTTCTGGAAGCTTCTGGACACTTCTAGAAGGAGCAACCATTCTAAGACTTCTAGAAACTTCTAGAAGCCACTACTTTTCCTAAGAAGGAGACCAAATGGAAATCACCAGTAGCAGCAGCAACACCCATTCTTCTGGAAAGTTCTAGAAGACTTCTAAGAGTTTCTATAGTTCTAGAACTTCTAGAATCAACAGCAGCCATTCTTCTAGACACCTATTGTTGTTGAGGAGGAGGAGGAGGAGGAGGAGGAGGAGGAGGAGGAGAAGAAGAAGAAGAAGAAGAAGAAGAAGAAGAAGAAGAAGAAGAAGAAGAAGAAGAAAAGAAATCGGCAGCAGGTTCGGCAGCAGCAGCAGAAGAAGAAGAAGAAGAAGGTGGTGAAGAAGAAGTAGCAGAACTTCAAGGGGAAGAGAGAGAAGAAGAAGGTGTGTGTCTGTCTATGCCTCGAGGTGTGACAGATTGGTACGGTGCGATGAAGAAGAAGGAGGGATGCTCGGTAACCCCATGTCCCAGGTGCTTCGAGCCTATGACAGACCCTATATACCAATGCAGCATGGGGCATTCCTACTGCCAGAAGTGCAAGAACAACCCCTCAACTTGCGCTGCTTGCAAGGGTCCGACCGTGAGGATGCGCAGCAAAGCCTTGGAGAAGGTGACCTTCGGCATCAGCGGCCCGTGCAAGTACCAAGCCGAAGGGTGCGGCCAGGTTCTTGAGCACCACCTTATGCCGAAACATGAGGACACTTGCACCTTTAGACCCCTAGGGTGTGTTCTCCCCATGTGCGGCTTTACGGGCAGCACCTCGCGAATTCTGGACCACCTGAAGACCCACAACGAGGTCCAAGTCATGAGGTTGAAGGACCGATGGTGGACCAACGGCTGGTCCCTTAAGGTTCCCATCTACCGCCTACCCCTCCTCAACAAGTACGCCCAGCTGAGGCCCACTGTACTGCGCGCCGGAAACGGGGTCTTCTGCTACTACACGGAGATCGTAGGGGGTCAGTACTTCTACGGCTGCCTCCAGTACATGGGCAATCCAGTAGACATAGTGAATAACCGGTACGCGTATTCGATTGAAATTGGTGGGAAAGAGAGGAGGATCCTGTTCGAGAGCACGCCCTACAGCAGCCGGGAGGGATACCGACAGGTGCGAGATTCCCTCGACTGTCTGTCCTTCGACATTGGGATGATGAAACTGCTTGTGGAAAAGGACCGCCGGGAGGGGACCGAGGTCTTGTACTCCACCGTCCGAGTCTGGAAACGGGGCCTCTCTGAGTCTCTCAAGACCTTCCTCAGGGTCGTCTTCACCTTCCTCCTCCTCGCCTGGCTGGCCAAGCTTGCCTACAGCGCCGTTGCCGACGGAATCCTCGATCAGTATGTCGATGTCAGTCTTCTCCTCGCACCCTTTGGTAGACGACGGTCGGGATGGTTCTGAAAAGCGAAAAAAAAAAAACCGTCCCAGGATTTGAAAAAACGAAAACGGAAAAAAACAGGAACAAAACCATAGTTTTAAGTCAACCTCCTAACGCCAGAAGAAGGTCAAATCTGGCACCCTAGTAATCTGGGACCGGGGAGACAAGTCTCACTTGCCCACACAAACTGTCAAACTCTCCATGTCTGACCGTCGATTTCGGAGATCAAGGGTCAGGAATGAAAGATACGGGTAAGTGGGGCTTGAGCCCTGCAGGCCCCGCAGGAACGCAGGCAACGATTTAATCGCAGTTCCATTGCAAACAAAATAAGTTCTGACAACAGGCCGGGGCGGGCAGGCAGGCAGGCAGACAGGCAGCCATTTTTAATCGAATTTCCATTGCAAAAAAGATCAATGGCCAGCAGGCAGACAGGCAGACAGGCAGAGATTTAATTGAATTTCCATTGTAAAAAAGATCAACGGCCAGACAGGCAGACAGGCAGACAGGCAGACAGGCAGGCAGGCAGGCAGACAGGCAGGCAGGCAGGCAGACATGCAGCCATTTTTAATTGAATTTCCATAGCCAGACAGGCAGGCAGGCAGACAGGCAGCCATTTTTAATTGAATTTCCATAATGGCAAGAAGAGATCAAGGGCCAGCAGGCAGGCGGCCGTTCACATGAATTTCTGTTGTGGAAAAACGGACTGCCTGCAGTCAGGCCGTCAGCCCGGCAGCCGTTGTTTAATGGAATTTCAAAAGTTGCGTAAAGTCAAGGGTCAACTGCCGACTGGCCGAAGGCATGAAGCAATTTACTGGTAATTGAATTTCCATTGAGAAAAATCTTACGGGCAGGCGAGGAGGCGTGCAGGCCGGCCGGCCGGCCGGCCGAGAGGCAGGCAGGCAGGCAGGCAGACAGTCAGGCAGGCAGGCAGGCAGGCAGTTCAATTAAATTTCCAAAGGAAAAGAAAAATCAACGGGTTTCAGGCAGGCAGCAACTCAATTGAATTTCCATGGCAGGTCAAAGGCAGCGGTTTGACTCCATTGCAAGTCAACGGAAGTGATAGAATCCCATTGCAAGTCAACAGCGGGGAAGTCGACGGCAGCGGTTCGACTCCGAGGTAGTTCCATCGCAAGTGATGGCATTGGAAGTCAACGGCAGGGTGATTTAACGCCATTGGAAGTCAAGGGCAGGGTGAATTAACGCCATTGCAAGTCAACGGCAGGGTTATCTAACTCCATTGCACGTCAACGGCAGGGTCTTTTAACTGCATTGCAAGTCCACGATAGTAAAATACATTTAGAGTAGAAGTCAACGGTGGTGATATAATTCCATTGCAGATCAATGGCTCGGATTTTACTCGATTGCAAGTCAACGGCCGCAGCTGTTTAACTCTTCGTGCGAGTCAACAGGAGTGATTTAACTCCAGTGCAAGTCAACGGTAGTGATATATTTACTGTTCGGGTCAACGGCAGTGATATGTTTGCTTTTCAAGTCAACGGCATTGCAAGTCAACGGCATTGCAAGTCAACGACAGTGAGCAATCCTTGAACTCCATTGGAAGTCAACGGCAGTGGTATATTTGCAATGCAAGTCAACGCCAGGGAGGTAATTCCATTGCACACGGATCGGGGGGGATTTTATAATTTACATATATATCGTCATATATATATATATATCGTCATCTGTTTGACGATATATACTTGCAATGCAAGTCAACGCCAATCATTCAGGGGCAGCAGCAGTTTCGACGTGCATCAAATTGGAGAAGCCTCTGTCCTTGGCCACGCATTGGAGGCTCCACAGCAGAGTCACGAACGTTTTCTTCACGAATCAGGCGCAGCACAGTACTTAGCGCGTATATATATATATATCTTCAAATAGAACTGCCCGGTAAACCGTAGGCAGAGAGGGAGAAGAGGACAACAAACGAGGGGCTGTGACAAACTGTTTCGTCGGAGTTTCACCGACTCATCAGGAGGCTGAACCATATATATATATATATTTTGTTGCAGCTTTAGAGCTCCCTGTCGTTTCACAGCAAACATATTCGTTCGGAAGCGGGGTCCCACGTTCCTTGCAAAAAAAAAAAAAAAAGATCTTTCGGACCCGTACAACATTTCTGCTGCGAAACTCCGAAAACGCGCTCTTTCGGCCATTACCCCTACTTTATTTTGTTCTTCAGATCACAAGGGGGGGGCGGATCTTCAGTCTTCAGCTCACAAGGGGGCAGGGCGTACAGCCTGTGTACAGGGGCAGCAGCAGTTTCGGCGTGCTTCAAATTGGAGAAGCTGCTCTCCTTGGCCAAGCAGTCCCTCCAAATGGGTGCCACGCATCGGACCGATATTCTGCGAATGTTGGAAATGAGGAAAGGCAAGATGTTCCCTTCAAAAAAGAAAAAAAGAAAAAAAAAAGAAAAAGAAAGGCAAGACGTCGCGCGGGACCGCCAAACATTGTTGCCGGGAGCGCGCGCAGAGGAGGAGCACAACCGTGCAGACAGCAACGCAATTCGATCATTGCAAATCAACGGCAGACAGCAAGGCAATTCGATCATTGCAAATCAACGGCAGACAGCAAGGCAATTCGATCATTGCAAATCAACGGCAGACAGCAATGCAGTTCGATCATTGCAAATCAACGGGTTCAGGCCTCCCCCTGAAAAGCACGTGCAGTGGAGCATAACCCTGAAAGGCAGCGATTAAATTCTGTGGAATTTCTGTTTAAATTATCCGTTTTCAAGCCTCCGCCATTTATCTCGGAGTCCCCCAATGGGTGAATGGGGGAGAGGGAGGGAGGGATGGAGAGAGGGATAGGTTGTATTGTCGCATTGTGGCATAATTGTCTCCCGCTTTTTCCTCTACCTCTCTCTCTCCCGCCCTCCATGCCGCCCCCTCCCGCTCTCCAACCGATGAACGTGAGAGGCTGATGCTTGATGGATCAGGGGAAAGGAGGGAGAGAGGGAGAGAGTGCGGGAGGGAGGGAGGGAGGGAGGGAGGGAGGGAGATCACTGTTGACGTCTGGTAAACGAAGGTGAAAGGTCACGGCCGAGATCCCGATTGCTAGTCATTATGATCACAAGTCGCACATGTCCTCCCTTCCGCATCTGATCCGGTTGCTGTCCCGATCCCGGTTCCCGAGCTGGTTTGCTCGATTCTCTTCTCCTTTTTTTTTTCTTTTTTTTTCCAGGTTGTCGTAGAGGTTGGATGCTAGACATCGTACTCCCCCTGGCTCGGCGCGCAGTGTGTCTCCTTCTGGGCCGTAGGTTGCAAAGGTCGTCGATGCACGACACAGGTGCCTTACGAAGATCGACGGTGGACAACGTGACACGTGGCATAGTACGAAGATGATAAATTACGTACTACTTCAAAAAAAAACTGCATGCGCAGAAAATGTACGGAAGAAACTTTGATTCGACAGAACGTGGATCTCGGCTTTAGTGCGGTCGTGAGATGGAACAGAGCAAACTTCAGCACGTGCGGGAAGGACTCGTAACACGGAAGCTTCGGTGAAGATTCACCCAAAAAAGGTCCTTTTTCGTTGCGAGACGTAGTTCTCGGCTCTGGTGCGGCCGTCAGAAGGAACGTTCAGGAGAAACTTCATCATCAGCTCTTGGAAACGTCACTCTGCTGGGTGGAGATGGATAACTACAACGACGAGCTTTCGTCCGAAACTTCGATCCGAAAAACAAAGGACACGTGGACTGACCGGAAAAACGTCAACCGGCGGAGGAAGGTTGAGAGGATGGATTCAGGTGAAATTTCAGACGAAACTTCAGGAGAAACTTCATCACCAGCCCTGGTGCTGTCGTGAGAAGGTGAAGAGAATCTTCGTCATCCCGACGCGACGTTTCAGGTGAAATTTCAGACTTCAGGAGCAAGTTCATCACACGCCGGCATCGTCACCTCACGGAAGACAGACGACCGGCGGAAGAAGGTTCAGACGAACGTTCAGTGAAACTTCGGCTTGCACTCGTCGACTCCTGAGACGGAGGGTAATTTTTTTCATCCACCCGACTACTTCATCAGGGAGGCGAAACTTCAACGAGAGCACTCCTTCATGCGAGACTTGCTCCGCGCCGAAAGCAGAGGGAAACTTCGGCGATAGTTCACCCGACACTTCACATCTTCGTGGCAGAAAAAAAAGCTCAGAAAAGGCTCAAGTCTTCTTGATGCTGACGTCAACGCCGATTTGTTCTTTGAATCCGACTTTGCCCCTCCTGCCTGAACCTACTTGGGACTCGGAACCGAAGGGACGGGACTGATCTGGTTTTCCTGTCCAATGAGTAAATGAATGAATGAATGAAGGGTAATTTTCAAAAATAGCGCGTTCTTCAAGGGTAGTTTCACAGCAAAAATAGTGGCGGGGTCCAAGTTTCGTTGCAAAAAAAAATACATATTTCGTTGCAGCTTTACAGGTCCAGGTAGTTCCACGGGAAAAATATTTGTGGGCAAAAAAAAAAAAAAAAAAAAAAAAAAAAACAATTGCGGGTGGGGTCCCACTTTCCTTGCAAAAACACATCTTTCTTTCGGACCCTCCAACATTTCCGCTGGGAAATTTGGAAAAAGTGCTATTTCTGCGATTACCCCATGAATGAATGAATGAATGAATGAATCAATCAATCAACCAATCAATCAATCAATCCCATGGATTACACAGGAAGACCTGTAACTTTCTTTTGATGTTTGAATGAGTGGTTCATGTTCCATCTCTCTCTCTCTCTCTCTCTCTCTCTCTCTCTCTCTCTCTCTCTCTCTCTCTCTCTCTCTCTCTCTCT